AAAATTAATTAATTAATATTTTCGATCATAATAATAGTCTAAAAATTGTTTTTTATCTTCTACACCCAAATTAGTTTTACGAAATCTACTTAATTGTCCCAACAAATTTATAATTTGGAATCCAACCTTATCTATTTCTTCGTCTTGTTTGTATTGTTGTTGTTTTAATATTGAAGAAGACGCTGATTGTGAGAGTGTCGATGATTCGTTAAAGTTGGGCGAAGATGGCGATTCTTCTGGATTTAAAAATCTGACCTTTAATGTATTTTTAAACTTGTGGAAATTATTATGTTCATTATTATGTTAATTATTTTATGTTCATTATTATGTTAATAATTACTGCCGATCGACCCATAGAAATTAATTGATTACCTCGCCACAAAGTCTTGCTAAATGCCAAAGTTTATTACCAACAGGAATAGTTGGTGAAAAATTATTATAATCATATCTTACTGAAATAATATGAATATTGATGATATTCTTTATCGATGGCAAAGTTAAATCTCTAAATATTGGAATAAATTTTAATAACGCTTTTCCATTTGATGTAGTTCCCTAACAACAACAAACAACATTATAAAATTTTAGCTTTTGAAAATTAAAAAAATTAATAATAATGTATATATGTTTTTGTAATTACTTCTGGAAAAATAACAATTGGTCTTTTTGAATTTTTAATATAATCATCATTGATCAGTCTTGAAAATTCAAGTGTTTTAATGCCTGGAGATGATGGTTCAAGTTCCGGATAAGAGCTTATCTGATTAATTGCTTTCCATAATGATATTGGTCGTAATTCGTTGGTGGAAGAATAGATCTGGGTAAATATTGGATCATATCTTTTGAAGAGTGTACAAAAAAATTTATTTTAAATTTTATTAAAAATTAAAATCAGCAAGAAAATATTTTTTACCTGAAAGCTAAATATAATAATTCAACATATGATGTGCTATTGCAAATAATCACATCGATTGGTTGTCCCTCGTTCGATGTAGATTTCGATTTAGATTTAGGCAAATTTCCTCGACTAATAAATATTATAATTGAAATCTCAATCGATCATTCACCAATTAATTAATTAATTAATTTTAGTTGTAAAACGAGACGGTTCCCAACCCTTTTTTTAATGATACGGTTTCCGAACTAATCCAATAAAATCCCATAAAGAAAAGTGCGAGGCGTACCAGGAGACAAGTGAATATAAAATGATAAATTCGATAAATCGGTTTGATCGGAATCTTTTTTATTAAAAAAAAATATATCAATCAATCAATCAATCAATCGTTTAATTATTATAACACATACCAATATTAGACCAATAACATCTGCTAATAAAAAATATAGTAAAACAGTAACAAGGACTAATAGGATCTTTAATAGTCCAAAGATTGGTTTAATTATATATCCAAACAAAATTATAATTCTTGATGATATATCCAGTTCATCCCTAGATGGCTTTATTTTTTTGATTATAAAATGGAATTTATTTAAAAAATTAGGAATAAAATCTTTTTATAAATAAAAAAAGTTGGATAATAAATGAGTAATGATAACTTACTACAAAGGGTAAAAATGGTGGAATCCCAGTTCCAGCATCCTACATGCACATATACACACACACATACATATATATATAAGTATACTATGATAACATTAATAATATTTATTCAAATAAATTTCAAAGATATTTCTTCTACCCTCCATCGAGAATACCTTTCCATTGTTTCAGACAAATTAAAATTTTCAAAAAATTTCACATCAGGAATTCTATTGGTAGTTATCAAATTGAAGTAGTACGAGCGCGATTTTATTATCCCGGTTGATTAATTATTTAATAAATATTTTTTCTCGCCTAGTATTGGTAGAACCCTGGAGTTTGGCATTAATGTTGATTAATCAGTGTAGCATTAACAACCTGTAGTAAGGTTTTTGCTTAGTAAAGAAGCAAATGTTTAATTTTGCTTAAGTTTTGTCAAGTGCAAACGTAAAGTATTAAAACTGTTCGGTAAAGTATAAAGTGTTACTGATTAATCAAATATAAAGCCTGACATTTATTAACCAAAGTCGTTGTTATTTGTGTCAAAATAATTGTTATAAAAGCGCGGCTATTAAAAGAAAAATGATTAAAGAGTAGTGTGAAGAGACCAATTTAACCAAGCTTGCTTTTAATCGGCCATAGAAAAGTAAAAGTAAATAAAAAAGGAGCTTTATAAATGCATTTGTCGCTTTCTAAAAGTACCATATTTGTTTATTGTAAATTGTGCCGTAAAGATTGTCGAAGCTTCTTGGGTACAAGAAAGAGACATTAAGCAAAAAATAATTTAATTGACGAATATAAAGCTTACATTCAATCGATGTGCGTAAAACAATCAACATTAACCGAGAGCTACCTCACGGCGGTAAGTGAAAATAAAGGCGATTAAATTCCTGATAAACAACACCAATTGAAAAGAATTAGGGGTTCAAATCGAGGCAAGATTTATAAACCTATTATTATTGCGCCCCGGGCGATTGATTGATTACTTTGTTTTTGAAACTAATTCATTATTTAAAATCCCGAATCAACAGACCTGAAAATAATGAGGATGTTAATATAAAGTTTTAACTGGATTCGAAATCAAATATTTAAATGAAGCAAGGAAGAAATAGACTCTCAACCTGAAAACGCGACAAATATTCGCTGTTTTTTGGTTATGAAATTTGTTTTGATTTCAGTCTAGCGCACTCTTTTATACTATATTCGATGTTGTTATTTTCGGGATACTGCATACAAGGAAATTACTAAGATTCCAAATGATCTATTAAAGCACATCGGTTCACAAAATTTAAGCATCTATAATAAAAAAGATGCACAAAAAGAAATGTTACCACAAAGTTATTTTACTTATTTTTTTTATATTATTATATTATTATTAAAAAGTCAAAATGTCCTTTGATAAGTTATTAACAACAAACGAAGAGAATTAGTACATGAAATAGATAGTATTACTCTAACTGCTTTTCCAACTATTTCTAACTCTGACAATGAAAATAGAAAAGTCATTCTTTACAATTAATCAAAGAAAACCAATAACTATTAGAAAACGAAAATGAAAATGAATATTGTGGATAATTAAATAATGCAACTTATGAATGGGGTGAATCAAGAAAATGCAATGAGTGTAAAACAACAAGATCCTCTACACTTACAGAGCCTTTTCAGTACTTGGACGAGATAATTGATGATTTTATTCAAGGATGTCAACAGCTTTCACCTCTTCCAGATCAGGAAAGACTTTATTAAGTGATTTTATTTATATAATTATTAATTTCAGGCATTGAATTATTGTAAAATTAATCCACCCTCAATTGTTATTATGCATGGTGATTAATTATCCGCAAGAGGAATTGATATTTTGAAGTATATCACTATATTCATTGTGATATAATGCTTGTTATATCACAGATTTGGGATTATGTGGAAAAATTATCAAATAAAATTTATGAAATTGTAATTGTGCCTTATATCGCATCAGAACTATTTAGAGGAAAAAAATACACAAAGAATCAGATGCTTATAGTGTTGGGATGTAAGAACATTCACCATTTGATAATTATCATGAATTCCTGATGATGATTGTGCACAAATGATGAAAAGGTGTTGGGATGTGGATCCAGCAAAGAAACCAACTATCCTGGAGCCTTTGGAATTTTCTCATAATAAATAATAAATTTAAAATTGAGAGTACTAATGAAAGTAGTAGTAATATTGGGCGGTAATAATAACAGTAGTAATAATAATAA